CATCATTTTAAAGTGTTTCCTCAAAATCATCAGTTGTAAGGAGAAAAAACCTCTTTCTGGTGATTACATGGTGAAGAAATCAGGCAATATCCTGACTGTGTGAACTTCACTGTGAGTGACTGAGGAAGAGCTTGTTCTTCTAGATATGACAGGCAGAAGAAGAGAAAGCATTCACTACCTATGGAGTATCCTCAGCAAGAATGCAGTGGAATCATGGGTAGATATCAGACAAATGAGAAGTGAAGGCTAGGAAAACAGGGTGGGTGAACCATAGTCTTAAAAAAATGCCAAATATTGTAAAAGGCAAATCATGGAAATGTTCCAGATTAAAGAATGCTAAAAAGACATAGCAACTAAAATCAGTATTTGACACTAGTGTTTCTTCTCGCCAGTGCTGGGGAGAAAAAAATGCTACAGAGGATGTTAGTAGATTGATTGACAAAACTAGAGTGGTGCTGTGTCCAGGTAAATTTATCAAGCTGATAGCTGTGAAGTGGTTATAAGTTAGAGACAGTCTTTTTTCTTTCTTTCTTTTCTTTTTGAGACAGGATCTCGGTATGCAGTTCAGGCTGGCCTTGAGCTCACTTTGTAGCCCAGGCTGGTAGAGCCAGTCTTTAAGGAAATACATGCTAAAGTATTTGGGATTAAAGGACCTATCCTAAAATGATTCAGGAAAGTTATATATATCCATATAGAGAAAGAAAAAAGGGAGAAAAAGTAATTGTCTCAGTCACTTTCTTTCTACTGGGACAAAATATCCAATGCTGGCAGCCTAAAGGAGAAGTTTATTCTGGCTCATGGTTTTGAGGTTTCAGTCCATGGTTGGCTCTCAGGTGGGACAAAACAGCGCAGGGACTTGATGAAGGCAGAGCTGCTCACACCATGGTGTTCAGGAAGTGGAGAGATGGAAGGGAGAGCTGAGGGATCTACTAACGGCCCAGGCCACGTCCCCAGAGGCTGCCTCTTTTACCAGCCCCTCCCCCAATGGCACGTAAGCTATAACCCTCCGAAATGGAATCACCTCCTAAAAACCCCATCTATGAGCACATATAGCTCTGGGGGATATCTAGATATAAACCAGTGGGTAAGATGTTAACAGTAAACAAAATTGAGTAAAGAGCCTGTGGTGTTTCTTGTGCTCTTTTTAGTTTTTTTGTTTCTTTTTTCCGCTGTGGTAAAGTTTATTCCAGAAAGTAAAAGTGAAGAGGGAGAGAAACTGGCTCTGCAGAGTGAGCTTGGGCTGAGTAAAGTGAAAAAAGATGAAAGTACACGCTGCCTGGGGAGACAGTTATTGTGGAAAGCTGCGATAGCCTATTTTTAGTTTTGTAATCTTTTCTCTTCTTTTCTTTCCTTTCTTTCTTATAGCCTATTTTTAGTTTTGTAATCTTTTCTCTTCTTTTCTTTCCTTTCTTTCGTTTTTTTTTTTTTTGGTCTTTTTAAGCAGGGTTTCACTGTGCAGTTCAGGCTGACCTTGAGCTCACTTTGTAGTCCAGACTGGCCTTGAACTTGCAGTGCTAGGAAGCATGTGCTGCCATTCCTGGCCTATAGACTTTCCTTAGTTTGAATTATTTCCAAATAAAAAGCTTTTTAAAAAATGCCTTCTTTCACTGTTAAAT